TCAAATACAAAGCAAATCGGGTAAACAAGTAGGTGAAAACATTTTATAGCAGAAATCTCTTTTTATTACATTTTAAAAATACATTTCGTCCATAACTTGCTCTGTTAATTTATTTGTCATATTCATTCCATGCAGCATTAAAAATATACCCCCTCGATCTGCTGTTGCGCGATGTCTTTTTAATATGCATATTATATATTTTTTGAGAAAAAATTCGGCTGTTCTCAAATTCCGTCAAAGTGATAGAAAAAAAACGAGGTGCAACTGCCTATAATTGCTAAGATTCTGTAATTCCTTTCAAAATATCTCAAGCTAAAGCTAGGTTCTAGCTACAAACGCGAAATCCTCTTAAAAAAAATATATAAGCAACTATGCTAAATTTATTTATGTAGGTTTTTATTTAATTAATTTTCTAATTATTTGCTTAAGCGTTTGTACTTATTGTCTTTAAACTTCACATTGACATCATAAATAATTTTATATAGTTTGACAAGCCAGCTCAAACAATTTTTTTTTTTTTTAATTTTTAATTTGTTTATATTGTATCAAAAATACACACATTTGTATAACAGTGTAGATGTCCCAGGTGTTGTTTCCCCAAGCCTGGTCCTCAGGATTAATCGTCACGGAGGTTATCCGGACGATATCCGGAGGAATTCGCATCAAGTGTGCTGCATACTTTTAGGCGTGTTTGGTAAAATTTTCTTTATCAGATACAGCAAGAATTTCGTAGCACAACTTAGATGATAAGGCTTAATCAAAGACAATATAAACACTAAGATGAGTAACACCCATACATTTGAATGCGACGCAAAATTTCGAGCCTGGCCTTTCATCTGGCCTTTGAGGCTTCGTACGGCACGCCTGCCGACTGGTTGTTCGTTCTCCAAAGACCAGACGAACGAATGCCGAAGTCATATTCAAATTACCTTGCAAAAATTAGATTGGTTCTAAAATAAAAAATAAAATTCCAATAAATTTGTCCATAATTATTTCAAACCTAATTTCCACAACATATAAATTCTCGATCTCGATCACAACAGAAGCAACCACACATATATGTGCATAAGTAAATGACGCACCCGCAAAGATACATGCAAACAGATGTTTGCTGAGGAAAGCGCAATTTCACATCGCTTTCCGATCCAAACAATTGCTTTGCTCGAGTTCGTCTTGAGAGCAGCTGCTTGGCTATTTTCTGTGCGCCTCTTATTTTACGCTCTTCTTGGACTCTTGCACTTCAACTCTGTATATGTTTAACCCCAGTAGTCAATTTGATATGTTGCAGGAATCCTGCACTTTCGGGGTAGTCGAAAAATATGCACGCCTTAATGGGCGACTTAATGATAAGTTGTTAAATAAAGTACAAAAGTCCATTTAAAAGGTTATTAAATCAGTATACAGCAGCCTCATTTTAAGCTCTTTAAAAATATTATTTATCAAATACCACCTTGATTATTTTGATAGCATTGACTACTGGGGTCAAACTAATACACAACCAAGTTGCGAGAGTGCAATCCGAACGAAATAGAAAAGACAAGGCTTAGAAAATAAGGCAAGAATAGGTAAACGATATAGATAAACGACAATATGTATGTGTGCGCAATTATGATCATTTGTATGTGTGTTAGCATTGGGCGAAGTGAAAGCTAACGACTTAAGCAAAAAACTAAAACACGATACAAAGTCTTAAACATACTATACATATTTATTATACTCTGAACCCATTGAAAGGGCATAATGTATTCGTGCAAATGTATGTAACAGGCAGAAGGAAGCATCTCCGACCCCATATGGTACAATAAGATATACTACAGAAAATTTCATGAAGATCTGTTTGGAAACACGTGTTTGCGGCATCAGCGAAAATTGCAAGAATTTCTGTATACATGTATACACATACTTACATTCGTGGGCGTCTGCTTCTAATTATATCAACAGCTCTACAACTACGATTGTATTGCTTTCTGTGCTGCGATTTTAATTCGTTTTTCTCCCAACAGGACTCAATAGTGGGTGTGGCTGTTGAGTAGAGGCGGTGGCAAGTGGTGTTGTCTGTCACCAGCTCGAGACCTACCGAGGAAACTATTTTTTTTGTTTTTGCGGCTGTTGAGTAGAGACGGCGGCAAGTAGTGCGGTTAGTTGCGAGTTCGAACCCTGCTAAGGGAACTTATTTTATTTTGTTATACCCTCAACCCATTAAAAATGGGTATAAGGGTATATTGTATTTGTGCAAAACCCAAATGTATAAAACAGGCAGAAGGAAGCATCTCCGAACCCATAAAGTATATATATTCTTGATCAGCACCAATAGCCGAGTCGATCTAGCCATGTCCGTCTGTCTGTCTGCCCGTCTGTCCGTATGTATGAACGCAAGGATCTCAGAACCTATAAGAGCTAGATGTAGGTGCTCCTAGTGCCCGCGCAGATCGAGTTTGTTTCCGAAAAATTATCGATATCGATACACTGTTTTTTGGGCAATTTTCGAAAATAATAAGAGGTAGAGTTACCAAACTTGACATATAGCTTCTAAAATATACTACTATATAACTATATAACCATTTGCTTGACATTTCATGAATCAGAACTAATAATTGGTATTTCAAAATATATCTTTATTTGGCATTACAAAAAAAAAGCATTGTGTTTGGTGCCTTCAATTGAGGAACTGCGTAGTGTTTGCATTTGTCCATTGCTGTGTTCCCCATTTAAAGCTGTAAATAAATATATATAGCACACTCTCTTAAGGATAAGCCAAACGGCAGCGCATATCTGCTCCTAGTTGGATGCTTAATAAATCTCTTTTTCTACATATGGAGAACGGAAAATGTTTCCGTTGACTGCAAAAAGCAGTGCAAAAAGCACCATATGTCAAGGGTCTTTCAGTTTAAATTATATTATTATACGATTTCCGGAGATTTGGAACAACCTTTTTACCGCTTTGGGTGCGGACTTCTTTCTCATGATCTCAGTGTAATTACTTACTAGTTTCATCTACCTTTTCCGACCGCTATAGCCAAGCGCTTAACTTCCTTTCCGGATAACACTACGCTTAGGGAATAAACCTTGAGTATTCTGTGCCGATTAAATGCAAATCGATACTCCTGGTCCCGGCGGGTTCAAAGAGGTATATATTTCCGATATCCTTCAGGCTTTGAGGTATGGCTTAAAATAAAATATCCTCAATATCTAGAAATCAACAAGGACGGTTTTGATGTCCTTTGGTCAGTTGATAGCCTTGGTCCATACGTCTTGTTTGACATAGGACATGATTGACATACTACGGTATTTATAATATACGATCTAATTTATATCCCAGCTGTTTAAACCACTTTCGTCATTTTCTTTACATATATTAAATTGGCTGGACAACGACAGTCGGTTGGTCAGAGGACATCCTGATAGTCACCACCATTCCCAAGTTATCGCCAATTGTGTAGTGATATCCTTTTTAAAATAACTTGTCCGGCCATATCTTGGTGAATTTCGAAGAAAAATGGTGGACTTAAATCGTAAGGAGGATCTGCATTTAACGATCTTTGGATTGCATATATTTTTGCACGTGGTTGCCAGGAAAATCAAATATGCAATATTTGAAAACTACGAGGATTATTTCAACATCCTTTTGCTAGTTGAACGCCTTGTTCCTTACGCATTGCTGACACGGGACTTTTCAGGATCGGCAACGATACGACCGATCTCTGGTATTTTCAATGCATAAGATAAATGTCTTTTATCTCGTGTGTGGACGCATATCGTCCTTTTCTTTGCATAGTTTGTATGGGCAGGACGACGACAGTATGGTGGACATAGGCATGTCGATAGTCCTTGTAATGGTTGAGTAATGACCGAGTTTGTAATACATTTTTTAGAAAAATGATCAAAATTATCAAATTGTAACTGCATTTAAGGATCTTAGGATCAGACAACTACAAGGACGTTTTAGCTTCTTTGGCTGGTTGCATAGGAACAGTTTTAGTGAAATTTTTGTCGAATTATGAATATTCTTCAATGCAAGCGATAATCCTAGTCCCAACGAGTGCAAAAAAAGGATATCACTCCTATATCCTTAAGATGTCCGCGTTGTGGATACAACAAAAAAATGTCCTTAGAAAAATAGCCATATCTAAGAAACTTCAAGAATGAATAAAGGAAGGAAAGTTAAGGGTGAATATGAAAAATTTTAATAAGATTGTTTGTCGAATCCTGGAAATCCTTGAGTGCATAGTCCTGAAATAGGCAAGTCGTGGTCGATTTTGAGATTCATAGCGTGGTTCAATGCTAGCAGATTTGATGCTAAGGATCTTAAGGATCAGCTGCATCGATCTGCATTTAAGGCTTTAAGGACACCACAAATTCCAGTCGCGAGCAGCAAGAAAATAAATTGCAATATCAAAATATTTGATATCGATGTTCTTTGCCCAGCTGCAGGTCCATATGAAGTTTTTGACACAAACTCGCCAGGATTTACAAGGACGGGAGCAAGTTATGGCCTTTTTAGGTACACACTTCTTTTCTATTGCATAATCCATATTGGCAGAGCAAGACCTGTCTGTTGACCAACTGACATCAGGCAAGTCTTTGAATCACGGCGATCTGTACATAACCATGCAGATTTATCACCTAATTCTAATCTAATTTTAAATACAATTTGCGTACACTTCTTATTGCTTTAATAGATATATTTGTAATATATAATTTGATTTAAATTAAAACTAGCAATATACAGGCTAAAGTGTAGCATATGATTTATCATTATTTATGCTATACAATAATAGATAAAGATATAATAATAGTGGATTAAATGAATGGTTACACCAACGAATTTTGCGTTTCCCAGAAAGAAAAGGATAAACTAAGGGGTTTATAACACATATGTGTGTGGCACATAAACCGATACACATACACTTTAAAGCATTTAGCGCGCGCGCACGCTCAAATACACACACACCCAGCATGCGAGTGTGTATATGTGTGTAACATGGTAAAAAACAACAACATTTTGTTTAAACCTAGGTATAAACTTTACGATCGCATAAATGTATACATTTATATACATAAATATAATAAAATATAAACTCTGCTTGCGGAGAATGGGGCCAAATGTGACAATAAACTAAACAACATAACAACAAAGCCAGGATATGGATAACTAGTGGGTAACCAGTTGGTTGTGGGTGTGTGTGTGTGTATAAAGGGGTAGGTGGAGAGGGTTGATGCCTTTCAACCCTGCCAAGTCAGCGTAGCAGTGCCCGTGTCGCTCTTAAGTGCGCGCACCTTGACTATTTTACATTTAAATTAACATTCACATTCATAATATTGAATACTGGACCGATGCGCATAAATACACGCCTAAGGACACTTCTCAGTTCGGGCTTGAGGTCGAAGCACATCATTTCGCACAGGAGGCTGTAGTAGTTGGACACATGCGTCGCGAACTGCGAAAGTAAAACGGTCACATTTAACACAAGATTATATATTTATATATACACTACTCACCCTGGCATCGGTCATCTTGAGCAGGCGCGTCAGGATGAGCAACAGCAGTGAAGTCCACGCTTCGCGATGCGCCTCGCTCTGCAAGCTAAGATAGTAGGCGAGCGCTTCCTTGCAGACTTGCACTAGCTCCTGCTCAATGCCGGGCCAGTCGCTGCGTCGATTCTCGTCGCCGTACATTTTGAAAAAGATGCGCAACACGCAGGCCAATGAGGCGGTCTCCTGCTTGAGCAGATTCGGCTTGACGGAGCCTTTAAAGCCAGCACGCCACAGTAAATTGCGTTGATCCTGATCCGCATTGAAGCACTTCGCAAAGCGATGTGACTGCATCAAGCACTCTGCGAGCGTGAAGAGCTGCCGTGTGCGCAAATAGCCGTACATGCCCTGTTCCTCCCGCTGGCAATCTAGCTGCAGCTGTTGTGATTGCCCGGAGCCGCCACGACAGCCGCTCATATCGGCCGCCGCCTGAGCCAGCGTTTCGGCATCCTCCTTGCGCGAGGTCGCCGGAAAGAAGACTATATTATCCATGGTCTGTATCAGCTCCAGCTGCACCACACATTTGATATGTAGTGCTTCGAACTGATTGTGCGCCAACGCCATAAACGTCGGTTCCTGCGGCGCACTGCTTGTGGAATGTGGTGTACTGGAGGCACGACGTGGCAGCTGCTGCTGTGGCTGTTGTTCAGTGCCCTTGTTGGGCCGCCAAGTGAGCAGCTCCTTGGGCAGCGTTGCATTAAATATGTCCAGTATGCACTGGCAGGTCTTGTCCCAGGTGACCTCATTAAATTTGAACCCATTCGAGATGACCAGATTCTCAAGGCAATTGGTGCCGGAGCGTGCCAACTGCTCGTTGTTTTGCTGCACGCACCAGTGCAACTGGGCGAAGAGCTCCTCTAGCAGCAGATGACCCAGCACATCAAAATACTGCGTGAAGACATCAATGATTGCATAAAGCGCGTGATTACAAGTGGTTGTCATCCATTCGGACTTTTCGGTCACATGCTCCGGTAGCTTCATATTGTCGAAGATCCGAAAGATCACATTAAACAAATCCTTCCACCAGTTTGGCTTGAAGCTATCCCCATGCGTTTTCACGATCTCAAAGAGCACGGTCAGGCCGCGTGTGCGGACATCCAGCTTGCACCGATTGACAACGCAGGAAAGCGAAAAGAGCATGGGAAACCAGCCGCGCACCCACACCCGATCCTCCTCCGCCACGGAGGCATCGTTCTCCATGCCCGCATGCTCAGCAAACAGCTGGGGCGCATCATGGACGCACTGGGCACAGTTGCGCACTAGGCGTATGGCCTCCATGCTAGTGTCTGGAAAGCGTGCATTGCACGCAAACTCTGACAGGCACTTGACGGCATCCTGGAAAGAGTCCACCATAACGGCAAATTGTCGCCGATAGAGCTCGCCAATGATTTTGCCCGTTGTCTGGAACGCCAGCTCCACAATTGGCTCCTCATGATCCCCGGCAGCTAGGTGAAATATAGAGAAGATGTTCTTCCAGCCAGATCTTATATTATGCGCCTGCAAAAAAGAATTAAATACGTGATAACGTGATTGGAAGAGATAGTTGACTACGAAGTTGGGATAATTACTTGAGAGTTGACCATCTGGGCAATGCAGCGCACGACCATGTCGCGTATGGCCGGCGAATTGTTCTTCTTCATGATGTGCTCGAAGGGACGTAGAAAATCCTTTTGGAAACGAAAGTTGCTGAATTCGCCCTTCTCCATAAACTTCATGGATAGCTGGCGCAGTGAATCCAAAGCAAAGAATGCAATCTCCTCATTGCTATTGCAGCCGACGGTATTGAAGTGCTCGCCAAGCACCTGCCAGATGCGTGACCATTGCAAACGAATGCGCTCCATGTTGTAGTAGCTAATCTCGACGATCTTCTGTAGCGAGAACATTCGCGGCTGCGTCTGCTGCAGTTCATCCACAGAAACCTGGCACAGCGCCTTCACAAAGTCCACAATGGCATCGCCATCGAGACGCATGGAGCCAGTAAAGATGCGGTCGACAGCCACAACAACGCTTTGGCTGCTCGTTTCGCCAATGTGTTCCTTGACGCTAGGATTGAGCGTATCCTTGAGCGTGGTTTGTGAACCGGACAAAAACTGCGGTCGCACTCCAGTGCCAATGAGCTGCGCCAGCTCCAGCTGGCTAATGCACTTGACTATGTCTAGCCAGCTACTGCCTAGATAATTGCCATCAGTATGGGCGACCATGATGAGCGTCTTAATGGTATCTATATTCTTGGCCTTCATCTCATTAATTGGCGAATTTGCGTTCAATAAGGTGAAGCGTGCCAGCGCCTGAACATAGGCATCCCGTTCCAGAGACATGTGGAAAATGCACGCAATGCGAATTGCGCAACGTATGCCGTCCAGACAGAGAGTAGCTATCTCTGGATCATCGCAGACCTGTAGGCCCACAGAAAAGGCGGCCAGAAATGGTGTCCAGGCCATTTTGAACATTGGACGCACATGCTCCAGATGCTTGGCCGATGTAAACGGCGATTTTACATGCGATACAGACTGCATCAGATTGGTAGCTGTCAGGGAGATGACCTCCATTTCCATGTTCCACAGTAGTTTGCGTCGCTTCTCTGTAATGAAAGGCTGTTTTCCTGCTGGCTTTGGTGCAATGAGCATTGTGGTATTATTCTTCATTTTAATCTCATGCTCGGCAATTTCATCGTAAATAGAGGACAAATATTCCTCGGGCAGATCATCTTTGCTGTCGCTAATGCCGCGATTCATTTTAATATACTGCTCCTTGGTCATCTTGTGCTTGACCTGTGGGGAATGAAGATCCGTGGTCAGCATAATAATGCTAAAGGCGAGCACATAAACTGTGTCGGCGCTCTGGAATAGCTGATTCTGTGGATTGCATTCGCAGTATCTGCTCGCAAACTTCTCCATCAGTCGATCAATCTTTTGCGCCTCGCCGGGCAAACGGAATTCCTCAAGAAGAATGCGCAGAGCGGCCACTACTTCCATCTGGCGAAAGTCAAAGGCATCGATATATGCGCACATCACCTCCTTAGAGTGATCATCGTTCTCGCCCAAATAATTGCCAATGACGGTTTTGTCCAGGCGTTCGTCATCATGCAGCCAGCGTGCTATGTCCTGGCAGCTGCTACCCAACAGCTGCTTCTCCTGCAGAAATTGCACACCCTTCTGGGGCTTACGGTTGAACAGCTCAATGCCCGTCTCCATGACCTCCTTCCGCATCTTACGCTCCTCCAGCGCCTCAGGCAAATCTAACAGCTCTTGATTCTTAGCACTGCCGTACGAGTTAAGGCTATGACTAGAGCCGCCGTGCGTAGAGCGTAGACTTGAATTTTGAGCAGATATCGCATCGACATTATCCCCAGCTTGCAACTCCTGTGTGGTGGGTGACTGCAGCGACTGAACCTGCAATGAAGATAATTTAATTTCCAGTACTTAACAACTTTGCCTATTTAACTTACTTGCAGTGCAGGTGTCGGCATATTGGGATTCACATAGAGATCCTTGCTCCACTCGACCATGCACTTCAGTATGGACACAAGGCACTCCAGTCCGCGTTTACGCATTGATTTCTCCTGCATTGGGTTCGCGCCCAGTTCAAGAGCCTGCCGACCCTGCGCGATCTTCGAGAGATCGTTAACCAGTCGCTCAAACAGATTGGCCGCCGAGAAATCACAATCATAGTTCACGTAAATATCCACGACAGACTGTGCATCGGCACAGATGCGCGTCAAAGCCTGTATAACCATCCATTTGTGCTCAAAGGAGCTCGAACTGGCCTCCAGAATATTCAAGAAGATCTCCTTGAAAAACACCTCAATTTGGCGCTTCAAATGCACCTTAAAGTTGGAAAGCAACGCCACAAAAATGGAGAGCGACAATTCAAAGACCTCGGCCACCAGGCTGACACCATTGTTGGACAGCGCGACACAGAGATACTGTTTGATTGCCATGATGAACATCTCATTGGAGCGGAAGACGGGGCCAGCATTCTGCAGTATCAGCAGCAGCAAATGCAGCGACAAAACCTTAGAACGCAACTCATGTGACTTTGGGTCCGGCTGACCTTCGGGCAGCGGCTTCATTGAGAGTTTGCATAACGCTCGGAACACCAGAAACGCATCCTTTTGCAATATGTGTGTGAATTTGGCTGTGACTATTGCATCATTCTCGCTATGCAGCTCAACGCTATCATGATCCGAGTGCGAAGAATCAGCCGATCCGTTCCCATTGACAGATGCCTCCATTTCGGCCACATCCGGCTCTACACCCTGTTCCTTCATCGCCTCATTGAAGGCAGCTAAAAGATGAACATGGTTTAGCTTTAACTTGAAATGAATAAAACGAAACTATTATGTCAACAAAATATCAACTTATGTATGCGAGGCAATGATAAAGTTGTCTACTATTCAGAAGACACAATTTAAAAAAAAAAAGGATCCGGAAAGTGTTAAAATTGATCCTTAGTTGGAATAGCAGCAATCTACGGGAAGTTACTAGCAAAACATAAATAAAAAACGAAGCGGCTTAGAGCTTTTTTAAAATTTAAGTTCTAGCAGCACTGATCAACGCATGGCATGAACTTTTATCGATTTTTAAGCTAATTTAGATCGGTGTGCAATGCACAGATAGACCATCAATTCCACTCACCTGTTATTATCTCAGCCAGCAGCTCTGAGGCGATGGCTTCATCGCTGTCTGATAATTCCGTAGCCTCCGTCGTCAGCTCCTCACCATTGCCTTCCGGACTGCCTATGCAGTCATTAAGTGTTGTCGTTGATGGCGTGGGTGGCACCTCATAGACTTGATTCTCCATACGTGCAAAGATTACATTTAGCATCTGGGTGAGAGTGGCACGTGCCGTAGTCTGATTAACCAGATTCCTGCTGGACAGATATATGTCATAGCAGGTGCGCACCGCTTGCAGCAGCGTAAACTCGTGTATTTCGACGTGCTGTGATGTGACAACGGTAAGCAAAGCCTTGATGATCTGCAGCTGCACACCTTCGTCCGTCTGGGGTCCATTGAAACAGCCATAGATGGTGATGACAATACGATCGATGAGCAAATGACCCGGATTGGCTGAATCCTGAATGGCACCCGTCAAATGCCCATAGGCAATTAACTTCTGTAGGCAATCCAGCGCAGTCACAACAATGCGCGGAGAGCGGCTCTTACAGGCCAGTTCAAAGGGCAGGAAATAGGTTTCCGCATTGATAATGCTCGCCGCATCGTTTTTGGGCAGCGGCAGTGCAGCGCAGGGTAGCTCATTGCCTTCGGCGATTTGGCCCGCATTGATGAGCTCCGCCTTGATCTGTTCGAGTGCCGTGTCACAGGATTTCTTAAGTTGCGAGTGATGTGAACGCCGTATGTCCTTATCGGCAAGGATTTTCTCTAGAGCACGCACAATAAACATTTCCTTGGTTTTCGTGGAGTTATTTTGCATATTGTATGCAACTCCAAGGTCGTCGTATAGTTGTGGTTTTATTGCTTTCCTCTTAACTAATTACCGTGAGTGAACGTCCGCCCGTGTGTTTCTGTGGAGAAGTGAGACGACAGCGCCAGCAACTTTTGGGCTGCCGCAACGGTGCGTGGTCCTGTGTTATTGATGTTTGTTTCGGCTCGTCTGCTACACTCTGCACCCGTTGCGTGTGTGTGTATGTTATTTAATTGTTTTATGCGTTTGCATATTGCAATGTTTCAACTTTTCACATCAAATATGCTTAAAAAATACAATGCGTGAAAAAACGTCATCAGTACTGCACAACATTGCCAGACTGTTGATATATCGTTTCTATCGATGAGCGATTGTTTACATTCGATTAAATACGATACAATGTATATGCCATTCTGAGTTTACCGGGCTTAATACTAACAAATAAAATAAATTTCTATTGACTCATTATACGACATCTGCTGCACATCCTAAAATTTGTCCAACATATATGATTGACACGTGTCTGCTACTAATATTATATCTTAATAGTGATAAAAATTTTCTAAAATATTTTTTTTAATAGATGTTTATGTACTATAATTGCCACTCTTCCTGTGTGCAATCCGCCATTAAGAGCATGTTGTTCATGTGCTCACCCATTAGCTTGCGATGTTGTGCGAATTCTTCCCCATAGGCTGTAAATATGCGAGCTGGTGGTATTGCCGATGCCGGTATGTGCATATACTTTTTTGCCAAACTGTGGAGAAACGGATGAAACTGAGAAAGATCCTTCCATAACAACAAGGGCTCAGTTTGCAAGCTGCTTATGTTTGTGCAAAAATAGCTGGAAATTTCATCCATGTTCTCGCTTTCACCATTCATAGTAATATGTTTGTGTTTCTCGTGGGAGAATGCCCTATATGCCGCCCAAATGTCGTAACTTCCCGTGTTAGCTTCTTCGCCAGATTCAGCGGCAATAGCATCGCCCTTTTCCTCGTACAGATCGTATAGATGTGTCATATATTTGGCCACCAGTGAGGCGCTCTGGAACGGCATATTGCGAAAGCGTGGATCCAACAGACTGGACAGGGCCAGTTGTGTATTCTTCTCCATTCCCTCGAAACGCTCCTCCAGATGTCGAATGACAAATAGGCGAATGTCGTACGAGACTTGATGCTGCTGCTCGGCGTTCTCCGGCTGCTTCATTTCATTGAGCACGGTGTAAGCTATGGGCAGGGCATTGCTAGCACTAGGATAAGAAATAGTGCTTGGACCGCACAATTGACGCACTGCACTGGCCAAAGGCGCTAACACAGCAAGCAGCTCGCCTGCCAGCTCCAATTCACTGTCCGTCAGCATAAACGCCGGATCCAATGGCTGTACTTTCTGCAACTGAGCTGCCTGCCTGACATAACGTCCCAACATCTCGTAAGTGCTTATTGCGCGTCCGGTTACATCCAACTGCAGTTGCGATGCGACCAAATTACTGCAGCTGCTAAGATGGTGGGCAACACAGCGGCGCACCTTGTCGCAAAGTGCACTAAACTCCTGCCTCTGCACCACTAGCTCAAACAACGTCTCTAGCAAATGAGCAAAGCATGGCACATGCCGCTGGCTACCCAGCAGGGAGGCGACAGCGTTCTCCAGCAAACGGCTGCTTCGGCTCACAATACAAACAATCTTCGACTTATCTATGTCAAATCGCTGACAAACGCGCTCCAAACGCTCCACAATATTGCTGGCATTATATTGTGCTGGCAGCGCTTGCACGGAGAGTGTGCGTGCCCGACGATGCACGCCATCGTAATAATGGGCAGTCACCTCCAGATAGCTGTTCTGCTGCTCGGCCGATGTGTTAATGGCGCAGCTTAGTGAAAGCGTTTGTAAGTGGGCAAAGTGTTGGCGCAACTGTGCCGTTTGCAATTGTGCCTTTTGACCAATGTGGGCACCCAGTTGATCAACGCTGGGCAACTGAAAGGCGGGGCAGAGAACTTGAGCTAAACGTTTGAAGCCCTCTCCCTGTATTATGTGCAGCGGCTGCTTGTCGCGGCACACAAAATATGCCAGGCTGTCCTGGTAAGCAGCATTGTGAGACGTTTGGAAATTGCTAAAAAAAAAGAAAAAAAAATTATAATTTAACCACACATAAATTACATTTACATATGTCGGCGCGTATTTTACCTGACCATTAACTGCACTTCAGGCTGCTGTTCGTCTTGTTGCAGCGTTTGGTACAATGCGGCGGTTGGATCGTTGTGATCTTGTGCCTCCTTTGGCTCAAATTCAATAATGTCCTCAGCGCTGGCTGTCTCAGCGGCAGATTCTGTTTCAGCCGCAGCCCAATTGGCATAGGTTTCTTCATTTACAACGCTTTCGACGGCAGCATGTGCTTCTGCGTCCACCAGCTCGATTATGTTCACATCCATGTCGGGTCCGACTGGGTCGGCTTCTATTTCTCCCTTTGGTTCCGATTTTATTTTAATGGATGCATACTTGAGCAGTTTTCTGCCACGGCTCTTGATGGGATTTGGCTCCCGTTTGAGCATGCCGCGCACCACAATAGAATCGTGGTCATTTACATCGCTGTAAACAAACCCGTCTGCGTTAAGTGCATGTACACAAATACTGATATGTTGGCTTACATTTGTGGATGGGTCTTCATGTGCTTCATCAGATTGGAGGTATTGCCGCAGGTTTTGATTATCTTCTCGCATAGCAAACATTGTGCTGTTTGAAGATTTATTTTATCGTAGTATTTCCAAATTTTACTACGCGCCATTATTGGTTGTCTACGTTGTTTAGCATCGATTTCTGAATATACAATTGTATCGAATCGTTTGGAATCAGTTCACTGGGGTGGTTTAATTGAGCGAGCGGGGAACTCCTCAATGTTCGTTCATTTAGTTCCTTTTCCTTGGTCGCTTCGTTCATATGACTGCCAAGTCTAGTTCGAAGAAAATGAGCAGAACAATTGAATAGTTCTCAAAGACTTACTGAACTAAAAATTAGTTCTGTTTTGTTGTCATATATATATATTCGACGCTTATTACTAGTCTTATAATATTAAAATATTGATTATGAATTTTTAGAAGCTATATGAGATTACCATTTTTTTGTATATCTTTTGACAAAATAAATAGGGTTTAAATAGTAAAGGTTTTGCGATATGCACTCACATGCCATAGCAAGGCGCTGACCACAGGATATCTTATGGCCAGCATTTTAAATTTAACAAATAATGAATTATTTTAAAATTAAATTTTTTAATTTAAGTTGAAATTTGATGCCAGTCGGTAATTAAAGATGAGCGTATAATCGTTTGGTTCTGACAAATAATTCATATATAGTCCACGGGCAGGATCTTTAATTATTTAATCCTGCCCGTCTATATGATTTGTTTGGTAAACTGACAAAATCAAAAGCACATTTGTGCACTTCCATTGTGCACTTATGCTGTGAATAATGTACAGCTAAAATGATCGTTACCATAGCCAGTAACGGGCAACGCTCTACTACGCATGGGACGCTCAAACATAGTTTTCTGAACCCGAATTTGACAATGATTTTGATTGTCTCTCGAATTTCAAAAATATGTCTTCGAGTGTACACTCATTTACCGAATAATATTCGACTAGATCGCTAAGACTATCCCCCAGATATTGGTCTGCTATCTTAAATACATTCGACCAAAGGATGTGATCATCTGTGCGTACAAAATAGGTTAATGTGCCAGCATGATTCTCTCTTAAGTCCAAGTCCTCGAATTGTCCCTTTAAAGTGTTGGTAATAGTCGTCACATTTGCCTCCGTCTCCGTGTCGATTTTCATTTTTAGTTTAATGGTAAAGCCGCTGAGGCGCTTCAAAGCGCAGATGTTGTTCAGGCATTTAAATTTTCCGTTCGCCATGATGGCCAGTCGATTGCACAACTCCTCGCACTCATCCATGCTGTGTACAGGATTTTCAGTAGATGTTACTAAATAATCGAATGGCATGCGATTCAGTATAACTCACCTGTGCGACGTGAGCACCACCGTTCGATCCTGCGCCAGGAAATCCTTAATGCATTTCCACAAAAATCTTCGCGATATTGGATCCACGCCCGTTGTCGGCTCATCTAGGAGCACCAGCGATGGTGCGCCGATCATAGCCATAGCTGCCATCAGCTTACGTTTTGTGCCACCCGAATAATTGCGCACCGCCACATGGCGATATTTAAGTAAATGCATTTTATGCAGCCAGAAATTAACGCTATTTTCCATATCGGCGGGCTCATTACCTCGCCACCTAAGACCACGCAGCAGCGCCATTAATCGCAAACACTGCTCGGCGGTCATAAATTGGTTGATCGCGTCGTTTTGCGGGCAATAGCCAAACTGCTGGCGATAGGCCACCTCGTTGAGGCGTATGTCTATGCCCTTCGTTCGTATATGCCCGCTATCCACAGTTTTATTGGCGGCAATCATTTGGAAGGTGGTTGTTTTGCCTGCACCATTAACACCCAGGAGTCCAAAGCATTCGCCACTCACGGCAGCAAAACTGATGCCGCTGACAGCCGGCTTGCCTCCATAGCTTTTCCGCAGATTGCTCACAATCAGGGGGTAATCTTCTGATGCCTGTTGCGCAGTGCCATCCAGCAGCTGCTTAACATGCTGTTCCTCGTTGACGCAATCATTGATGCACTCGAGCTCCTGGTTTGAATTGCCGGTCTTCGGTGGTATCTTACAGGTTTTGCCATAAAAGAAGTCTTTTAACTGCCGGCGATAGTACTTGTGTTCCAGCACAATAGTAAAGAAGCCCATAACTAGGGTAAAAACAGTTAGAGCATACGCAAAAAATTCGCTGGTGGTTTCCGGGGGATTCTTCGATTTACTTCGCTGCGCTAATAGGTTCTCGTTTATGATGCGCAGCTGATGGTTTAAATTGAAATCGGGCAAAAAGCGTAAAAATGCGATCTTTGTCCCGTGCAGCTGCATAGCTTGAATATTGCTGGAGGTGATTAGTGGCGCAATTTCTGCGGGAAAAGAAGAGAAAAAAAGTTCATATTTTTAGGAGTACCAAAGATCAAATACTTTTAAGCAAAAAGACACACAAAACTGATTTACTTGCAACGACTTCAAA